ATAATATCTTTATACCCACACCTTCATTTTCTCTTTGTCCTATACTGGTGCCTTATCTGGTCTTTAATTTTCTATTTAAATTTTTTTTAATGTTTATTTATTTTTGAGAGAGAGAGAGAGAGAGAGAGAGAGAAACATAGAGACAGAGGAGGGGCAGAGAGAGAGAGAGGGAGACACAGAATCTGAAGCAGGCTCCAGGCTCTGATGCAGGACTTGAACTCACAAACCATGAGATTATGACCTGAACCGAAGTTGCATGATGAACTGACTGAGCCACCCAAGTTCCCCTCTTTTTTTTTAAGTTTATTTATTTATTTATTTTGAGAGAGAGAGCCTGTGAGCGAGCGCACACACAAGCAGGGGAGGGGCAGAGGGAGAATCCCAAGCAGATTCTGCATAGTGCAGAGCCTGACGTAGGGCTCTAGCTCACCACCCAGGAAACTATAACCTGAGCTGAAACCCAAGCATTGGATGCTGAGTGGACCACCAGGTGCCCCTCTAATCTTTAATTTTCAAATAATCATACCTTCATATTGTTTAACATGTCTTTGCATTTCACCATTGATTCTTATTAAATTCATTAATTTCCATTTTATTTTCCATTTATTTTAATATTCCATTTATTTCTATTTCCACCTCACCCTAAATTTGTGATTATTTAAATATTTAATTTCATTAATTATTCTAAAAGAGAGTGCTTGCCTGTCTCTAAATAAAAGAATCAGGTGGATGCCTGGGTGGCTCAGTCAGTTAAGTGTTTGATTCTTGATTTCAGCTCAGGTCATTATCTCAGGGTTTATGAGATTGAGCCCCACATGGGGCTCTGTGCTAACAGCGTGAGCCTGTGTAGGATTTTCTCTCTCCTTCTTTGTCTCTGCCCCTGCCCTACTTGTGGATTCTCTTCCTCCCTTCCTCCCTCCCTCTCTCTCTGTCTCCCCCCCCCAAAATAAATAAACATTAAAAAAATAGATCTATTTGTGGGTCTGTTTTTGGCTCCTAGCCAGTTGATTATATCCTTAAGGAGCATCAGCCATTTTAAATATTTTTAATATGAAGCTCAGTAAATCATAGTGTATATGCTAAAGATAAGGCAATTAAATTTGAGCATGCATCTGAATCACTTAGAGGTCATGTTTAGTCACAAACTGCTGGGCCCTACTCCTAGATGTTTTGATTCTGCTGATTTTTTTAAAGAAATTTATTTTGAGAGAGAGAGAGCGTGTGTGTGTGCGTACAAACGAAGGAGGGGTAGAGAGCTGGGGCTGGGGGAGCGGAGGTGGGGAGATGAGAATCCCAAGCAGGCTCCATGCTGTCAGCACAGAGCCCAACCCCATGAACTGTGAGATCATGACCTAAGCCAAAATCAAGAGTCAGATGCTTAACCTACTGAGCCACCCAGGCGCTCCTTGATTCTGCCAGTTTTGGGGAGGGCCTGAGTATTTGCATTTCTGACAAGTCCCCAGGTGATGTTGATGCTGCTGGTCCTGAGACCATACTTTGAGAATAACTGTTCTTAAGGAACATAGAAATTATTCTTCAATTGTTTGTACTCTCTGTACTTACATTCTTTTTCTCTTTACACTAGTGGATATGACAGATATAAGTGAGCATATTTTAGTAGAGCTGTTGCTATTTAAAAAACAAAACTTCTTATTAGTAAAAAGAGGTTCCTGCATATAGAGCTACAGCTTGGTTTGAGCTAGACCAGTAGACACAATGTTTGGAGTCCTAGTTTAGGGGCTTGGGTTGTTTGTTCCAAGACAGGTTTTCTTAAATCTCTTACAATCTTAGTTTCCTTGAAGAAAATGATTGCTACCAGGTCTCTCCTGTCTCTGCACTTCCTAAATCTTCAGGCAGCTCCTCAGTGTGTTTAAACAGGTTCACAATGTCAAATACGTCAATTAGGAAATACTTATGTATGTGGCTCAGTCGGTTAAGCGTGTGAGTTCGGCTCAGGTCATGATCTTGCGGTCTGTGAGTTTGAGCCCCCTGTCGGGCTCTGTGCTGACTGCTCAGAGCCTGGAGCCTGCTTCAGATTCTCTGTCTCCTTCTCTCTCTGCCCCTCCCCCGCTTGTGCTCTGTCTCTCTCTCAAAAATAAATATTAAAAAAATTTTTAAAGAAAATGCTTATGTGTTATCAATAAATGTTCAAAGTAGTTTCAATAGAGGCATTATTTTAAGGTTTTATCATGATGGGGATTTAGAACTTGGAATCACAGATATTCCAAATGGCTTTGGACATCAGAGCTACAGGACAGCTGATGGTTCATTTGTCAGGTCTGCTAGAATATCAGGTTGAGCCTGGAAGAAAGGAGGAGGTGAGAGAGAAATTTAAAAATAATGGGAATTGAAAGTGTCTTTGGATGCATTTGATTCATTGGCTCTAGGTTCAGTTCAGTGTGCAATTCTCTGATTCCTTATCAGATAGATATAACTAGTAGTTGTTACATTTATTAGTGTACTGGCAGTTTGGACCTTTGGGTTTGAAGTTCTTTCTGCTTGACAGCTGAGATGGGGGAGATGTGTAAAATCTTTTGCAGGTGGCTGGCAGGCATATTATTTGTATTTCAATGGAAAGGATGCTCTATTGGAAAAAACACAGATGAAAGGGCTTTTGTAGAGAATCACTTAGCATGTAGGTGTGTGAAAGGTGAAGCTATAGCAAAGCCTGGCAGCTGATGAGAACACAGTAGAGTAAGACGAACAGGAAGTTTCTTCTAAGCACCTCAGCCTCTCCTGTGTATACTTGGTTAGTGCCACTGCGTGAGCCAGAATGCTTCAGTTATATGGTAGAGACGAGTCTCTTGTTTTCTGTCACTCTGAGTTGGCATTTTAAATCTTTTTAGAAAGTCCTTTTGACTGTTCTTTATTATTGTTGTGTGCTCTGCCTTACCCCCTCCCCCCTTTTTTTGATGGCATGACATGTGTGGTCTTCTTTTCTTGTCATAAATGAGGAGAGAATTTTAGTAGAGTAGGAAACCTTATGACCCAGAAAACATTTGCCTGAAGTGTTCCCATGTGAGCAATGGGCATGGGCATATACTAAAAGAGAGAGGAAAAAAAGGCTTTTTGTTGAGAGTGACAGGCAGACAGGACGAGCAAAGTTTAACTTAAATCCTTTCATTGATATTGGAAAGTCATAAGCCTTCATATGACACTGCCACATTAGACTCACTGTGTGATCTGGAGCTCTGTAGCTAGTACCGTAGTGTGTGTGTGTGTGTGTGTGTGTGTGTGTGTGTGTGTGTACAGTGTAAACATTTTATGAACTGCAGTGTCTGATCCATCCGTCTGTCTGGGCAAGAATGTCCCTTGATAGTAAAAAGAGCAGCAATCAGGACAGAATTGGTCAATGCGGCATGTCTAATGGTAGGAAGATATTTGAAGGACTCGCTATAGACACAATAGTCTCTCTAAATAGCCTCTTTGCACCCGGAGTCTTATTGCAAACAGGTTCATTAAGGAGAGACATTCTGACACACAGCATCACAGTAATGAAAGTAGCTCTGTTTTTCTAATATTGTATCTTGCCACTTCAGTTATGCTGCTAGTACAAGATTTCCCTTGTGTTGTTGTATATTTCTCCAGAAAAAGAATCAGTCTTCATAGAATATACAATTATTTTGTACAGGAATGTATAACTCATACCTAAGATCCAGTCTTCCCTGTTTATGTGCACTAGTGCAAAAATAATTGGCAAACACATCTTCCAGACCAAAAGATTCCAGCACCTTCAATTTGTTGGGCTAGAAGATGTTGAACCAGAGTTATAATAAACTTAAAAAAAATGTGTAATGTTCAAAATGGGTTTGTGATCAATCATAAAAGAAAAAAAATATTAGTACAGTTTCCCATGAGGTGTAATTTTTTTCCTAGGGTTTTAGCCAACTCCAGTATAGTATCTGTTCAAAGAGGGGGAAAATGCAAAAGGTTTTCATCCACCAAGCTTAACATATAACTACTATATGAAGACTTAAGCTATTGGATTTTCTGCCTGTTAATGTACAGCATGAACATTATGAACATGGAAAAAAAAGGTTATATTGGTTTAAAAGTGGATATGGAAAATTTAATGTGCTCAAGTGGGAACAATGGCATATTAAAAAAAACACTCATGACACAGATCTAATAATTCACTTGCCCCTGTAGGAGAAGGGTATCAGCTCTGATACTGGCTCATAGTTTATTTTTATATATACCCCTGGTCCCTGCAGTATACCCGGTGTGTGGGTTCCAGAGAAAAGAAAGAAAATAATCTGTAGGGAAATCAGCCTGGAAACCTTTCATTAAATACATTGTACTTTGTATTGTGTCATTCACAGAATCTTCAAGAAATAAAGAAAGGAAAAACCTGTTATCAGTCTGCATATGTGAAATATTATATTTGAATACTATCATTTGTTTTAAGATTAAGGCAGAGGCTGCAGACATATTAGTTATTATTCACTTACACCTGGTAGATAATGCAACAGGGATTTAAAAATTCTTTTTCCATTTCTAGTCCCCACCTTCCTGCCTGCCTCCCTCCCCCCAGACAATGGCAAAGATACTACTTAAAGCGGTGCTGGCTAAAATGTTTTCATGTTGGAAATGTTGCTTCTTTATAGAGGATTGGGGTGCTGAGGGTAATAAAATCAGTCTTAAAATTCTTGGGGGTGTTTATCTGTCATTTAGCAAAAGATACATTTCTAGGGAAAATTGGATAAAGTGTTAAATACGTTCTTCCATGAGAAAAATATACACGCTAGGGGTGTAACTATGAATAGTGACACCTTTATCAAGTTGAATGTCCTTTGGAGTAAGCCTTTGTCTTGTCATTATAGTTCATGTATTGCTGTTGGTGGGCCTTTAAAATCTGTAAACGTCTTATCTTTTTTGCTGACTATTCATGCAGGATACGCTAGGCAAGCCAACTGTGACACATATTCTGCCTATACTTGTAGCTGTCTCTTGGACGAAAATGAACACACATCTTAAACCTAAACCTTGGGTGCCATATTACAGTTTTTAACAGACTTCCAGAATAGCAGATATTAAGTTTGGTTTTAATTTCAGATACCTGGGAGCACATTGTCCTACACAGTCTGTTGAAAGATTTATTAATTCTGAGGTAGCTTGTGTTGAAAACCATATTTTAAGTATAGAGGGATATAAGCCTATCAGTCTCACCAGACTGGTAACTTTTTTCATACCTGTTAGACTCAGTGCCACCTCTTGGCCTCAGGACAGATACAGCACATTCCACTCCAGATTAGGTCACCTTGCTCAGAAAAAAAATATTGTATGAATTGGGGGAGGGATACAAAGCTTTTCAAGTGAATCAACCCCTGGGAGATTGGTTATCACAGTCACTGTGGGTAAGCTCCTAATTTGGAGGTAGTTGTTCCAGTGTTCACGTGGATCATTTCAGTTTTGGCTCTTTTCCTCCAAGTGCCTGTCTTTTGAGTTCTTAAGCCATAGACCAAATTAATTTAAAGATGTTGATGTCATATAGTACTTACGATTTGGAAATGCTTTCTGACTATGGATCATGAGGAAAGAAAAGTGTCTATTTTCAAGAGTGGATGACCTTTAGGGAGAGATTTCTTATTCCCACCATCTCTTTTTCACTTAAACAGAAGAGCACAACTAGCCCATCTCTGTCAACATTGAGGGTTGGCCCTGATCTTTAAGTGACAGTGGATGGGCGTCCCTGGTCCACTCTCCCATATCTCTGGATGACCAGTCTGTCACATTCTGAGATCTGGAGCTCACCTTCTAGATTTGACACAGTACTGTGTCAAGTGTCCTGCTGTTGAAGTGCTTCAGCGGGGAATGAGCTTTCTGTTTCTAGTCATGACTATTGGGTCTAACATTTATTTGAGGGCAAGTAATTCATTGAGCAAACCATTGGGCTGCATGCCCACCTGCAGCCCCTCTTTCCAGCTTCCTCCTTCTCAGGGGTTCCAGATTCAGGGATTTTTCCTAGAGCACTTCTTGGAGTCTGGAAATACCCTGCTGGGTGGTGCGCACTTCACAGCACCAGGGTTTTCTCAGGATCTCAGACAAGCTTGAATGGCAGTGAAGCTCCGTCCATGTTAATGTAGTAAGAGGTGGCACATTTGCTGCTAATTGAGTGCTTACTGCATCCTGCTCAGTGATTTACATGCATCATTGTTGAGTCTTCACATTAAGCTGGTGAAATGGAGACTACTTTTCTCCCATTTGCAGGTGGGGAAACTATGTCACTAGTAAGGGACAGCACTGGGATTTTCAGATCGAAGCCTGATCTTACTCTGAAGCCCATACCCCTTATTGTTGTACTGACAACACATCCTAAGCTGTGTGGCCTCTTTGAGCTCTGCTCCCCCTTCCCTTGGCTCTCACTCACTATAGAATGACTTCTTCCCAGCGCTTTGGGGCCAGTCTTCTCCTAGTCAGGTGACTGTTAGTCCTTCCTGGAGTGAGCTGCATTTTCCCTATCAGCAAAACAAGGGAGAGTGATTCTCTTACTTAACCTGTTGTTGTAAATAGATAATGAGGTAATGTCTCTGAAAGCACATGTTACTTATTGGTCATCTTCTTTCTGTCAGACACTGTACTAGAACCTCCAGCACAGCAGTGACATGGACAGACACAGTCCCTGCAAGCCCTTGTAAAGCTTGCAGACCTCTGGACACCACAAGACACTGAAGCAAAAAGTTACAAAATAGCATAACTGTGCACCTTATATTTAAACCATCCACAGATGTTAAACTGACTTCGAGTTTAAGTCATGGTCTGTACAGGTGCTGGACTTTTTCAGGGTCCTATTGGTAATTTTCAAAGAAAGCCCCTTGCTTTCTTTGGTGTCGCCTTTTTTCTTTTTTTTTTACCTAAATCCTCTAACATTGTTCTCCAGAGTTCTGCCCTCTGCCTGCTTCTCAGCTTTCTTTTTCCCTTTCTCCTTCTCTCCTCTCTGTGCCCCCATTTCTTAGTTCCCTACCTTTGCCTATTCTCCTTTCTACCATGCTCTGATTTCTGAACCCAGTTTAAATTTAATCCTTCTTCATATCCCACCTTGTCTTCACTGGCTTTAAGTCCTACCCCTCTTTTGATAAATATTTTTTTAAAACATTGAGCCCAATTTTACATTTATTTTTGCTTGTGTAGGCAATCTGCCTATTTCTCCAGTTAGAATGGAAGTTCTCTGAGGGTAGGGACCACTTCTTTGTCTCTCTAGTACCCATCCCAGGCACAAGTATGTTTTCAAATATTGAAGTAAATTTGATTTTCTCCTCTTCTTCTCTGAAACAGCTCATCCTTTTTTGTCTCTAACATTTTCTCTTCATGTTCAGTTGGCCCATTGAACCAAACACTACATATATCTCTCAACTCCTTTTTTCTAATTCTTAACTGTCTGCAGTGTCCTCATCCAGATTCCATTCCTTCCAGACACTCTCACAGCTCCCTATCAGTCACCATCTTCTAGGTAGGTGATCACCTTAGGAGAAGGTTCCCTGGTATCCCTGGTTACTGCCACTATTTGGTGTAAGTTCTTACCGACTTCCTTATCTAAATCACATAACTGGTCTTGTTACCTCTTTCCCTGAACCAGTAATCCATCTAAAACCTAGATCTGATCATGTCAGATCTTAAATGCCTTTGATAGCTACTAAAGTATTTACTAGTGAAATGATACTTTGGGATTTTTAAATTATCCATTGGAGGAGGGGAGGTTAAGGGGGTATTAGGGGGAGTATAGGTGAAATAAGACTGACCATGTCCTGATAATTGTTGAAGCTGATGGTGTGGCTTACATCACGTTGGTATATGTTTGAAAACTTCATTAATACAATTAAAAAATAAAACACAGAAAACTTTGTACAATATATAGATAATGTCTGAACTTCTTGGCAGAGCATGTAGTGCTCTCATACCTGTCTCCCCAGTGTCTCTTTTGGCTTCTGAGATCCCTCAACCCCATAGACTGACTCTGCAGCTCTCCCTGTCCTCAGCATTGATTAGAAAGCCTCAGCTCTATGAATAAATCCTCCCTTGACTACTTCATTAGCCTGATTGGGGTCTTCTCTACTTTTGGCTTCCATATCCCTTTGAAAGACCATCATTAAAAAGCCCATAATATTGCTTCTTTGTGTATTGCTGTGCTGCTTACCCTCAACTCATCACTGAGGACTGGCCAAACCAAGAAGGTTCCTTCCTACTGCCCCACTTCTAGTTTCAGGTCACCTGCTGCCTGCCTGTTGAGTGTTAGACGCTTAATGAATGCTTGAGATAGAATCTAGTAGTTACTTCTGGCCTGTAACATGGGGAGAATTCACCATCCAGCATTTGGGGCTAACTTTGGTAGTGGATTCCTTTCCTCTTCATTCCCAAGACCATCCCAGCCTCTTCCCAGGGAATGAAGTGTATATGCATATCCTTAAGAGGATGATAGGTAAACTGTACTGTACAAGTGCAAGGTACCCAAATGTTCATTAGCATGCCAAAATAAAACCCTTTGCCCAGATTTGACCAGCTTTTATCTCTTTTTAATTGTGGCTTTTAAAATTGTCAGGCTCTACATTTAGACTTATGAGATCTCCCTCCCTCTTTTTGGTCCACTTCATAAAACTGGGTGAGGGAGTTGTCTTTGTCACCTATGCTTTGTGGGAGGACATCTTCAGCCAGCCTTCTGCCAGAGCCCATTCTAAAGGCCCTACGGCTAGGCTCTAAGATGAGCAGAAGAATAACCCTTTTATCAACATTTACAATGTATTTCACTTATTTCTGGCCACTTAGTTATTCTAAACTCCAATACAACTGTGGAGCCCAGAGTTAAAAGTAGAAAATGTTTAAAAAATTTGAGAAATGAACTGATTTTTGTGGCCAGGAGAAGTGAAGACCAAGGTATGAGTTAATCACGGTTTCCAAACACATGAAATAATTTTACATGGAAGGTGGTGCCAGCTGTTAGCCATTTGAGTGAAAACAAACAAAAGGACTTAGGTTGCAGCTGGAGGGATTTTAGTTAGGTAGAAATTTTTCATTAAGTGGTTCTGGGTGGGAACTGGGTTCCCATCCCAGTAGATTGTTGATTTAGGTCCAGATTGGAGGGCAGTAAGGTGGATTTGAGGACTTTAAGCATCCTGAAAATTGGGCTTTGTGATTTAAAAAATCAGCAGCTGTGAATGCCCTCTGTGCGCAGTGCTTGTAGAATGAGGATTCCCTCCTTCCTCCCACCTTCCCCCAAGTTGAAAGAAATTAACCTCAATTAAAGAAAATAGTGATGGATGGCTACAGAGATAAATATGATATATCACACAGGAAAAACTACATTAAAAGAACATTAAAGTTGGGACAGAAAGCACTAAAAATGGAAAAATTCACAGTTAAGGTTGAAAACTGATAGTGTTTACATCTCTGCTAATATGTAGACCTAACAGGACACATTAAGAAATTATGCTTTGAGTATGCTCTGTTATGCTAAGAAGTTAGTTTTTTGACTTAACACTCAGCTTAATATACAGTTTCGTTGCCCAGCTTTAATTAAGGCATCGTCCATGAATGATTATAGCCCATGGAAAAAAACCTGTTACTTTTACCAGAAGAGTTTTTGTGTTTGTTTAAATATGAAGTTTTGGAGGGGGCCAGGTGGTGTTTCTGTGACTCTGTGCTTTGCTTTGCTTTTCCTTGTGTCTTTTTTCTTTTTTTTCTTTTCTTTCAAGATTTTATTTTTAAGTAATCTCTACACCCAGCATGGGGCTTGACTTTACAACTCCAAGGTCAAGTCACATATTCTACTGACTGAGCCAGTCAGGCACCCCAACTTCCTTTTTTTTTTAAATGTTTGTTTGTTTGTTTGTTTAATTTATTGGAGAGAAACAGAGTGTGAGCCGGGGAATGGCAATGAGAGAGGGAGACACAGAATCCGAAGCAGGCTCCAGGCCCTGAGCTGTCAGCACAGAGCATGACGTGGGGCTCAAATCCATGGACCGTGAGATCATGACCTGACCCGAAGTCGGCTGCTTAACCAGCTGAGCCACCCAGGCACCCCTGGGCAAGCCTATTTTAGCTTTTCTAAAGTCAAGAATTTCTTTTGTAAAGCAATGAGGTTTTTTTTACTAAAATATTAATAATAACTTATGAACAGTTTTAATAATTTTGAGTGATATATATAATTTGTATGTATTGAAAATAAAATTTAGCTTTTATCCCTTTGCTCTAGGAGTGGTTTTTTACTGCTCAAAAATAGATCTAAAATTTCGTTATGTATTTTTTAAACAAATTACTGCATTGTAACAGCCATAATCAGAATCAAATCCAGTCACATTTTTAATTTACATCACATTGTGATACTAGAAAATCATCTTTCTGTAAACCTCTTACCTAATAAGATTTATCTGCTTACTGTGGTTTTTTGTGTGTATGTACATGTGTGTTCACTGTACTCAAAGGGGTCTGGAATAGCATGGTTTCGATGTAGGGTATAGAGTAAATATTTGTGTAGGGTAGAGCTTGAAGAGTACAAAACTTAATCAGTCTTTAGCTTCTCCATCCCTTCCCCTGACTCTGAAGAGTTGCTACCTTTGCCTGTACTAAGAACCAAAATAACAAAATACTACCTTCCCAAAACCCTAGCATGTATGCTAATGCTAAGTTTTATATGCTTCCTGAAGAGGATGAATCTCTCTCTCCCCTCCCCCCCTCGCCCCCTCCTCTTCTTGCTCTCTCTTTCCATTTTGGGGGGAATTTTGAGTTCCTTCATTGACCACAAGCTTATTTGTGGAATGGGACAGTGAAAATTAACTATTTCTGAAATCACTGAGCTATGAAGAACAAATTAAATTTAACAAATTTAGTTACTAATTCTTAAAATTTTGTTTTTGATGCAGAAAGAGAATTTGCTTTTTATTAAAAAAGTATATATAGGTAAATAAAATCATACCAACTTGTATAATCTACATTAATAAAATAGCAGATGGGTTAAAAGTGTTTCATTAGTAATTTTAAGGAAGGAAATATGAACCTCAATTGTTATAGAAGTTTTCTATTTTTCTTATTGAGTCAAATGAAATTGCCCTAAGTGAAATGATTATTAGCCAGTAGAATTTATTGCATACTGACCTGGGTAATATCAATTTGGGTTCATGACAGGGATATACTCATGGTCTCTTGTCACAGATTTTTAGGTTGATTTTCTTCCTAGATAAATGAGTTTTGTTTCCAGTTAATTAAAAGAAAAAGCTCAGGAAGCTAAACATTCAGAGTGAGAGAGAGAGAGAGTTAGTTGAAAATAAAAAATGAAACCACTTTCTGGTGGTTTCTTTAGGACACCATGCAGTCTCTGTTTCTTAGTACAGAAAATAAAACCTGTAAGCCTATTTGGGGTTTTAAATGTGATATAAATGTAACATATCATCATAAGTATGCAAACATGTCTTAAAACACGGTTTTGTATGGAAGCAATTACTGGCAGTGAGTGAGCTACACACCCCAA